CAATTACTGAGTTACGCTTCTCGCCGGACAAACCTGTTCCCGCCTTCTTACGGGCTTTAATTACTACAGAAGTTCAAATCAGGTAAACACACGGTTGGCGGGCGGTTGGCGGTTGCCGGCGGCAGGTCGCGCGCGAAACACACGCCTAGAAACTGGGCTGCGCTAAGTGCTGCCGGCGACCAGCCAATCAACACTTCTGCGTCCATCCATCCATTGGTGAATCGACCGCCCCGCCGAACGACCGACTGTTTGCGGAGCGTGTTTTGTGTGTCGATACAGCGAAGAGACGCAATGCCTGCCCGCGGCGCCTGAGGGGGCCAAATGAACTTAAGTCATCCATGACCATCGCTGGAACAGGATTTATCAAGGCAACATGAGGTCGTCACTCCGAGTAGCCGTGCCTCGCCTCGCCTCGAAGTCGTCGTCAACATGAGGATCAGGAGGACATCAACGAATGCAATTCTCACAAGCTGACCGAACATGGACCAGACACTGGACGATCACAAAATTGTCTCCCGGCTAAACTGTGACTCGTCGGATTGTTTCCCGGTAGCCGCAAAGACGTGAGTACTACGGACAGTAATTGTTGTGCGGCGGATATTATTGTTCGCAATAACTCTGTTTACGATATGGGAATCACGACAAACAACTTATATAAGATAGGCTGACTGGTGGTATGAACAACTGGACTTTTCAAATTAACCCTTGATATGAGTTGGCGCTTTATGGCCTCATCAGCTAACTGTTGTTCTTTCCCTCTGAGTGAGGATATGTTCCAATTTCCGACTTTAAACTCGCACTGGTGGTGTCGTTCTCATGGACCTACTTATATTCCATTATAGCACGTCAGAAAAGGGTCACATAATAGGATGTCTTCGGGAGTTCAGTTACAACGCTGTGCCTACGAAGGCAAGATTACTCACCAACGGCAGATTTTCAGTGCCACGTGTGGTGCTGACCACTGATTCTTTCGTCGGCTACGTTTCGCCTCCGTCAGCAGCTGATGATGCACCCTTCTGTGACTGAACGCCCTCGAAACGTCAACGAGGTCAGCTGAGGCCAAGACATAATCGATCCTGGTGCGGTCATGTCAACTGACCATCAGCACGTGTTATGATCAGAGCTGTTAGAAGACGAAGAGGCGGCGTCGATGTACTTTTCTGTAAGCAAATGTTTCTAGTCCGTCGGCAAAATCGAACTCACAGCAGCACGGCAAAGCTGGGAGGACTTGGTGACTCATGTTAATCGCTTTGCAGCCCGGATTGTCGAAAAGCTTTTAACAATGAAGTCAGGCAATCCTCCTGTGTAGGTATTGATCACCGTTGCCATCACCGGAAACGAGGACACAGAGGCAATTAAACCGGCGCCGGCGCTATTTCCATATTATACCTTGGGCTCCATTGTTCCATCTGGATTCCTCAACCCTTTCATATTCGTACGGTTCCGCTGGAGGCCAGCATTCCGTGCAGTTGTGAATACTACCTCAGCAATTGAGTAAAAGCCGTCGACGTGGTCACCCAGTAAGACTGGGCGCTTGCAGCCAATTGACACTGATCCATAGCTGATGAAGTCCATCCGCTAACTGTCAATTTGCAATACAATCTAGCCATCAAACTTTTCGTCCGACTGACACAACCTCCTTCCATACTTCATTATGGAACGTCATCTGATTTCTGATATGAAGTAAGTGACTTAAAAGTAGCTTCATGAAATTTTGTTACGTGGAAGTGCAGCATGTGATGCCGAGGAACCGCTCCTGACTCCTCAAGTGGAAGGCGAGGAGGTGACTGGCATTCGCTTATCGTAGAGTTTTGGCTGCACGTTGCAGTCTTTCCTCAGTGTCTGATGCATGACTCCTTCACAATGAGGAACGTAGCAAAATTCGCGCTATCATAATTATTCATTCACTCACAATATCGCACAGTTGCTCTGTTTGACCATGTAGTGTGGCTAATAAAGAGGTTCTTCCCCACAGTTCCTCTTGCAGTGGAGTTCCACGGCTGTTTTCAGACCAGGTAGAAAATCGGGGTTATATGGCTGAGAGCGTTTGCTCTAACAGGATGTGATTATGGAATTATTGAACGTTGCGATCACCTGATGACACAGTTCGTTCTATTGCCTACTATTGGCGATGGCTATCAAACTGATGACAAGCATAATAAAAACATGAGTAATAATGATAGAGCAAAACAAATGTCTCATTAATCGTAATGTGCCACGTAAGACACTGATCAGTATGCTTCCATAATCACGCATTGAGTTTAATTGTGTACTGTCATTAGCAATTGCACCAATTCAATAATCTTTCTTTATAATTAACGGAGATCGCCATTGTTTAGACTCGACGCTCATTCTCTTCTGTCTGTAACGATTTTTCGTCACAAGTTTCCCTACCTCTCTTTTGGCGCATGGTCTCAGCTGATCCGAGATCGTCCAATTGGCCACTTGCATTCCCTTGGGTCAGAATTTGTCACAACTGAAGTCCATCGGCCTCCGTCAGTCATGCGCCTTGAGCTGCAAGCAGGAGGCTAGGAGTCATTTTTGTTTTGTGCCTTCGATTTCATTCGATCTTGGCAAATCTCGGTTGTCTCTGCAGTCGATGCTTGCCAGGTATCGTGGACAGAACCCCCTGGCCCTTCAACCCGGCTGAATGGGTTCAATGTGGCAGTTCTGTAAGATCTGGCTAGTTCGAAGTTTCCCTCATGAGGTCAAGCGCAGCCATCCGTTCTCTGACTGTTGTCCTC